CCCCCACATCTCTCTCCCCTTCATCTCTCCCCTCTCCCCCTCCCTCCTCCAGCTCTTTCCCTTTCTCCTTCCCTCATTAAAGGATGCATTGTCTATCTTGCAATGCTGTGGTGATGAGAATTACTGGATCCAAAAGCATAATTGATGTTTTCTAATTCCCAAGAGTTCTGGGGAAACTCCCCAAATCTTGGAGCCATGTCAAGCGCCCATGCTAAACTTTGCTTCAGTCCTGCTATTTCCGAATGATAGCTGGAGAGATCCAAGTGACTCTGGTTATTGGATGTCATGTGTTGATCGCTTTCACAATAATGCGTACTTTATTTGATTTAGAGCTCGTGGCTGGCTCTCAGAGCTCCTGTTTCCACATAAGGATCACCCTAATGTGTCAAAACGTATCACTGCAACATTTACTAATGGCACCATCAATATCTAAATAAGCCCCCTTTTATTTCAAGTTATTAAGTTGCTGGTGAGCCTAGTATGTTTTATTGATACTACTATCAATGATAATTTCTAATAGTGAAGTCTCGGTCCATGACCATCATGTAGGTGTTTTGTTGTTGCTGTTGTTTTGTTTGTGAATCACAGCCTTGTTCCATCCACATGAGGACTCTTATACATGACTGCAGACTTTAGATCAGCGTTTCTCAACCTGTGGGTCATGACCCCTTTGCAGGTTGAACTACCCATTCACAGTGGTTGTGGAAAATACAGATATTTACATTACGGTTCATAACAGTAGCAAAATTATAGTTATGAAGTAGTGATGAAAATAATTTTATGGTTGGGGTCACCACATGAGGAACTGTATTAAAGGGTTGCAGTGTTAGGAAGGCTGAGAACCATTGCTCTAGATTCTATCAGTTGAGTTTATGTGAAAATTTGGGAAGAAGAGATGTTAGCCATTATGATCTGTGGTTTCAAGGCTGTGGCCAGACTGTTTCCTAGGTCTCTGTTACCCTGACCTCTCTTTGCTGTACAGTGTCCAGCAGCTTAAGCTAATGTTCCTGCACTTGATCTTACCGAAAAGGTCAAGAAGTAGTATATTTCCTATTCATTTTGGTGAAGGGAAAAGGTTGACAGAAGCAAAACTCATATAAAATATGTTTTTTCTCACCCCCAAATAAAATCCTAACTGTATAATAATAATTCAGATCAATGACCGGCATGCTGGTACACACCTTCAGTCTCAGTACTCTGGAGGCAGAGGCAGGAGAATCTCCATGAATTCAAAGCCAGCCTGATTTATGTAGCAAGTTCCAGGACAACTGGGCTACAAAGAAAAATCCTGTTTCAAACACCAAAAACTAAATAACAGCTGTTTCCTTCATTCTCTGTCATGTCTATATATACTTAATTTCCTCTAGAGAAAACTCAGTACGAATAGTCCTTTCACCAAGATATAGACGTTGTCTGTGATTGGAGCATTGAGTGGCAGAAGTGGGGCTAGAAAGCTTGGGTCTGGAAACTCTTAGTTTCACCCAAGGCAGTCAGTATCCAGTTAAACAAAGAATGATGACTCAAATCTACTGAACAGTTGTCAAGCTTTGAAATCTCCATGTCCCAGGCGTCTGGATCTTCAGATAAGGCTAAGCTTCGGATTGATTGAAAACTCACCTATAGCAGTGATACAGGTTTTGTTCACTCACAGCTTAGATGTTAGGGACATACTTTCATAAAAAGTAGTAAACCTGACAGCACTGAAGGTCACAGCTCCAATATAGCCTGTCCTTTGGGCAATCCATTTTACAAATTCATTTCGGCCAACTAGTACTGCAGTAGCTACTTGTACAGTTATGTGGTCAGTTCAAAGATAAATGTGCTTTTGCATCTGTCCTTCTGGTACTCAAAAGAGCAGTAGGATGAAGTGGACAAGGTACCATGAAAAGTTTGACTTGTAACACAATCTTAAATGTAGTTAAGATTTGCCTTTTGCCATCTTTGGTAAAATGTGGCAAAATTTGCTAACTTAACTGTCCCTACAAGGTAGCATTTTCTAAGCCTGCCAGTGTCATTTTTGTTTCCATCTAGATTTTAGACATTTTCTTTTGAGCTCTTCAACGCTTGCTCTGTTGTCAGGATAAGAGTTAAAGAGGGGATGTCGTTGTGGGTGTACTTGCGATAGGGTCACTTGGAGCCATTTTAGCTTACCAGATGTTTATGCTAACTCCCATGGGCTTCCAGGTGTCTCGGTAAACATTTGTGGCAAAGTATTGGAAGGCACCCTAATCGCACCACCTTGTGCCTCCTAGATAATAATAGTGGCATTGCTGAGAATGCTGGCTATGTGAGAGGAAGATGCTCAACACTTGACACTCATTTGCACATAGATTGAGGTAGGCATCATTGTAACTCCATTTTACAAATAAGAGCATTGTAGCTATGAGGAGCTAAGCAGGATAAATACAACAGTGGCTCAGATTCCAGCCCACATCTTCTCTCTCTAGATAGAAACACTGGATGGTAATTTATCCCTGGTCCTTAATTCCAGAGTCTATATCCCAGAGTGGCTGAACATAGCCTACTCTAAAACACACAGCCTTCGTTCAAAATTTTAAGGTCCTTCTAATTCTGGACATGAATAGACCATCTCAACCCCTTTCCTAATATTAGCCACCTGTACATCCCTTAGAGTGAAGTAGTCATAATAGTAGCCCTGTATTTAAGAGGTAACGCGTAGCACTGCCATGTTCATCCCAGAATTGTTCATGACAGTTAAGCTGTAGAATCAGCCTTTATCTATTAATGAATGAAGAGACAAAGAAAATCTAGTCCATATGTGCAATGGAAAATGTGGGATAGGGATGCTATTTGGCTTCAAAAAGGCAGGAAATCCTGTCATTTGGGACATGAATTAACCAAGAAGACATGCTAAGGGAAATAAGCCAAGCTCAGAATGACAAATACTGTGTGATGTCATAGAAGTAGAATGATAATTAGCCAGAGTATGGAGTGGGAAGGAATGGGGAGTTGTTGATCAGACCACAGAGTTTCGGGGCTGACAAGATAGCTCAGAGTGTAAAGTCAGCTGATGATCTGAGTTTGATTCCAAGGTCCCACATAGTAGAAAGAGATGACTGGCTCCCAAAAGTTGCCCTCTGACCTCCACATGTGCCATGGTACCCACATGCACAAACAAAATGAATATAATTTATAATAAAGAAGACAGAATTTCAGATAGGTGGCAAGAATAAATGTGAGATATGTTGGGTAACTAAAATGACAAAAATAATGTATGTTTCAAAGTAGAAAAATACCAACTGTCTCATCCTAAAAAAATGATTTTACCCATTCCATGGTGTGTGTGTGTGTGTGTGTGTGTGTGTGTGTGTGTGTGTGTGTGTGTATGCTCCATAAATATACACAGTCATGATTAGTCATTTTAAAATATGAAGGGGGCTGAAGAGATGGTTAAGAGCCCTATCAGCTCTTGCAGAGAACCCAGGTTTGGTTCCCAGAACCTCCATGATAGCATGCAACCATCCATAACTACAGTCCCAGAAGGTCTGATGCCCTCTTCTGGCCTCCACAGGCACCAGATACATGCACAGTACAATTACATACATGCAGGCCATACACAGAAAATAAAAGTAAATACATTTAAACTATGAGTTAAAAACTAGGGACACTGTTAGCAGTAGACTGCTTGCATAACCTATGTGAAGCCCAGCACCAGAAATAATAATAGAGAAATTAAGTTTTGAAAATATTCTTACAAAACAATCAGAGAAGACAATATACAGAAGGAATAAAGACTTGAATTGGAGACATCTGGCCCCCTCACCCCTGCTCCTTTCCACAGGGTTTCTTTCTCTCCTTACTCTTTTATCTCTAGAAATCAACTCAAATGTTCCTTCTTTTACAACCTTCTACCTATCACTAGCCACAAACATTCCTCCCTTACTAGGGCTCACCTTGTATATACATAGTCAACTGATAGGATTTAGCTGTTGCTGTCATAATAATTATTCGTTGTTTACTGAAGGTTTAGTTTGTACCAAGTGCTGCGGTAAATTGTTGGCATATATCAACCCACATGTGCATCCCCCTAGACTCTCCTGGGTGTCTTTACTCTAAGTGGGTAAGGGTTATAAACTGATTACATTTTTCCCTCAATAAATTTCTCAGAAGTTTATTCAAAGAGACCTGCAAATGGTCACATTTAATATGGTTTGCTGGTGAGCTAGGGAGGTGGAGACCGTGGCTCC